CCCCAGCCCCCCCCGGGAAAAGGAAGAGCAAGAGTTACCACTGCTGCAGAGGATAAATACATCAGAGTTACCAGCCTCAGAAAGCACAAATTAAAGCACCTCAGCCTAGAGCCCACATCAATGATTACATAGCTCAAGTAGCAGACAAATCTCAACATCCACTGTTCAGAGGAGACTGTGTGAATCAGGCCTTCATGGTCCAATCGCTGCAAAGGTCCACTACTGAGGATGGACAACAGGAAGAAGATAATTGCTTGGGCCAAGAAACACAAGGAATGGACATTAGATCAGTGGAAATCTGTACTTTGCTCTGATGAGTCCAAATTTGAGATTTTTGGTTCCAACCGCCGTGTCTTTGTGAGACGCAGAGAAGGTGAGCGGATGGTTTCTGCATGAGTGGTCCCCCCCGTGAAGCATGGAGGAGGAAGTGTGGGGGGGGCTTTGCTGGTGTCACTGTTGGTGATTTATTCAGAATTCAAGGCACACTTAACCAGCATGGCTACCACAGCATTCTGCAGTAGAATGAAGAATTTAAATTATAAATCATATTCTGGATTTTTTTAACACTTTTTTGTTAAATAGATCATTCCATATGTGTTCTTTTATAGTTGTGATGTCTTCAGTATAAATCTACAATACAGAAAACATTTAAATAATTAAAAAACTTTGAATGAGAAGGTGTGTTCAAACTTTTGACTGGTAGTGTATACAAAATGACTTGGACGTCCACACCAAAAACAATATTATAAATAAAGTCAGCAAAATGTATTGTTTATTCACCTGTCTGGTTTACAGCCACCCTCAGAGTCATCCAAGATGTAGTGGCTTATATATGTTAAGCCTCTCCCCCTAGTCCAGCTAACAGTTACAAATAAATAACCTCACATTTTACATAACCTGAGCTTTTAAGGCCATTTATTACAGTAACCAAACACAGCACCACCGGAACACCATATCCCAGTCAAATTCTGAAAATAAGATGACTTACCCAGGATCCAGGTACACATGGTGTCTTCCATCCTCGGCACACCTGCACTCTGCTGCTTCAGACTTTATACAAGCTAATTCAGGAGCTGTGTATCAGATCCAGGCACATGTGCACAGTGTCTCCTACACAATGTGCTATCCGCTAACTTTGTCACAAAGTACATATTAAGTTGTTTGCTAAAAAAAAAAGGTTCAAGCTACCTTGTAAAAATGTTAGTCCTGGCCCAAGTGCTGATAAGATGATATTGATATTGATCCCCTTAGGGAAATTCAGGTGTCATAGCAGCAACAGAATAAGAAAGAAAACCAGATAGTGCACATGGAATATACATGTGCATAATAAGAATAATAGAAGTATAATAGAAATACAAAAATGACATGAGTTAAACTCTGATCCGGTGAATGTACATACAGTATATACAGATATGTGAGCAGGGTTAAAAATATATAAACATTTAAATGTTCAGGTAGGAACTTTGAAAAGTATCAGTGCGCATACTGTAAAAGCTCTACGCAAACAGCTATGATGGAGAGAAAATCTGTGAAAACATTGCTGCAAATAATGCCTAGCATTCAGTTTATACACATATGGCAGCAATGTTACACAGATCTATTTCCTTTTGTAACCCTCAACCTGAAAACATTCACATAACACAGTAGGTTCAACTTTTAATTGACAGAAACTACAAAAATCCTGCACTTTGCTTTATACGTATGATGAGTGAGAAATGATTGAGAAAGTTTTGAGTTGAAGCACATGGAGTTTGGCTGGACATTTGAACTCATAGTTTGAGGAAAAAAAACCTCTTATTGTGGAGTGTTTTTCTGTAATAACTCAGTCTTTCATGATGATCCAGTCACAGATCAGGTGAGCCCTGCTATCTGTGTACTCAGATATCGACACAACTTCTTCAAAGTAAATGGAGAACATGATTCATTGTGTTATATTTCATAGTGTGCCTTTGCTGTTTTCAGCGATGTTAAGCTGATTTTGTGAGCTAGCATTTTTTGAAGGAGTGGGAATTGAATTGGTTGTCAAGTTGTATGTGTGTGTGATGTGCCATCCGACCTCTGCAGCTCATCCAGAATGCAGCAGCTCGTCTGGTCTTCAACATTCCTAAATGTTCCCACACCACACCGCTCCTCCGCTCCCTTCACTGGCTTCCAATCCAGAATCCACTTCAAGACACTGGTACTAGCGTACCATGCTGCAAATGGATCTAGCCCTTCCTACATCCAGGACATGGTTAAACTGTACACCCCAGCACGTGCACTCCGCTCTGCATCGGCCAAACGGCTCGCTGCACCCTCGCTGCGAGGGTGACCCAAGTTCCCATCAGCAAAAACACGTGGGTTTGCTATCCTGGCTCCAAAATGGTGGAATGAGCTCCCCATTGAAATCAGGACAGCAGAAAGCTTACACATCTTCCGGCGCAGACTGAAAACTCATCTCTTTCGACTCCACTTCGAGCGATACAATTACGAACAAAGAATTGCTAACAAAGCACTTATATACTAATAAAGGACTGGCTTATCTAAAGCCAGTTGAGTAGCACTTGAAATGTTTTAGCTC